TGAGGGTGTGGGGGGGGGGGGGAGATGCATGCAGACATGATATTTCAAGTGGGATAAGAAAGAAATAATGGATTAGACGTTAAGTTCAGACATGATTCCAAGTGGGATAAGAGAGAAAGGTTGGTTTAGACGTTAAGCTGTAGTCTCTGGCAAGAGAAATTTTGAAGGGACGTGTCAAAATATGAACTGGATCAAAATGCTTGCTTATATATTTAGTTTCCATGCTCCAGTGTAGTTTGATTAGGCTAAAAAACGTGGCTGCATTGATTTATCTTGATCGTTGCTGATGGGAATGAAATCATTCCCACGATCTTTTTGCCGAGCTCTTGATACCCTATATATGATCTAAAGTAGCGCAGAGTTTAGCAAACATTGTCAGAAAAGTATTTACATGTACTAATCATTGAGGAGGGGAATTCACTTCTAAACGGTGTTTTTTCCCTTTTAATTTACCTTTTAATAAAAATTTGTTTATTTTAGTTTTATGAATTAAGGTTTGATTAGTTAATTTGAATTTTTTAATTTATATTTAATTAATTTGAATTATTTATTTTTTATAAGATAGAGTAACATCAAATTAAATTCCACATAATTTAAATTTTTTTCAACTGAAAAAAACACGTTACCAAGACTTTAATAACTTACTGCATTGAAAAAATCAATGAGACCAGTGTAAAGTGCTAAAAAACTATTAATAACCTAATGTACTTGTACTCCTGTAAGAGTCAAAAAGAGAAATATAAGCGGCTATATACTTTCAAAGAAAAAAAAAGTTTAAGATCAGATAGCTTTAATCATTCGTCATGTTGGACTTCCCCTTCTAGGATATCACAAAATCTGATTTGAAGGTATACCTTGTACAGCTCAAGTCTCAGAATAAACTCAATCAGTACCAAATCAATTCGGTGGCAGAGAATTTTTCATTCGAGGTAAAATGAGGAGAATGATGCTGGCCCTTTTAGCTTAAGAATTACGAAGAGGCTAAAGCGGAGGACATATTTTTCTTAATTGGTTGTAAAATAGTCTAAATTATTTATTGCTATCTCTTGAACTGTATTTTGATGATTGTTCTATTTAAGGGGACAAATCAAGCACTTATTTCAGCAACATCTTAAATTTTACTTTCACTTCCACACGTGAGTTCACTGTGCTTACCCTCTGCAGCTCTTTTGTAGTAAAAAAGAGGGGCTATATCAGCCACTTTTACTGCTGTTTACATCCCCTCCTCAAGTAGGAGCAGCGGTCCTTTGTGCACATAAAATCTTATGGCACAAAGATTTTACCTGCCTTTTCTTGAGGCAATTTCCATGGTTTTGGCCATTAGTGTGTATTTTGTCCAACCGCATGTCCCATGATAGAAAATAAAGCAAAAGAGAGAATAAAAGGAAAGTAAACAGAACTCAGCTACCTTGTTTACCTAGTAAATTCAGGTCCTATAAGAAGTTGCCTTCTCTCCCATTCTCTACTTCTCTCAAGACATACATCCCTTCAACTGATATAGACAATAAAGAAAGAAAAATGGAAGATCACTGCAGTCTTCTTAACTGGTCATGCTTCTATCAAGATGAGGTAAGGCTATCAGCATGTATTCTTGTCTATTTCTTGTTACTGACCTTGTTCAATTCTGTTTCTTGTACTTGTTTTCAGACTAATGTAGATGTTTTTAACTTCTTTTTTACTGACTGCAGGGGATTGAAGACATAAGGCATCATCTCCTGTATACTACAGAACTTGAAACAGCAATTGTATCGGCAAAGGAGGAGATAGCAAGAAGAGAAATTGAGATATTCCACCTCAAAAATCTTTTGAGCAGGACAGTTAAGGAAAGAAATGACGCCCAGATACAATGCCGGAAACTAGTTTTGGACAAATTATCCTTCGAGCAACAACTGCTGCAAAATCAGCAGCAGCAGGAAATGCAGCAATTGAAGCAAGAATCTGCTTCACTCGCTCTAACTTACAGTAGTGAAGATGAATCCAAGGCTAGTGATTCCAACAATCACATCAGCTCTCCTGATTCTAGCAAAGTCATTGTTCCCTCGCAGTTTGGTGACCCAATTCCCCAGCAACCATCGCAATCATCACTTCCAGATGTGATACTTGAGTTAACAGCAGACAAACCACTTCCAGAGAAAGGGAAACTCTTGCAGGCAGTGAAGGAAGCTGGTCCGCTCCTCCAGACCCTTCTCCTGGCTGGACCACTCCCTCAATGGCAGCACCCACCCCAATTAGACTCCATCGAGATCCCACCAGTAACCATTTGTTCGCCAACATCTCGGCTAATACACGAAGACTCTTTCAACAGTTTCACTTCTTGTTTGAGCAAGAAGAGGGATCGAGACTTCGGCGAAGGTCCTGATTCTTCTTCACCTGCCACCAAGTATCAGAAAATTGTCCTCCATTAACCAAATCCTTAGTTCTTACACATAGTTCTCTAGTACTGTGGGGCATCCATCCTTTTCCTTACTGTTAATCATGACAAGGAAAGCAACTGGAAACGGATGGCCTAGCTATTATGCATCAGTTTGGAATTTGTAAACTACTTTTGTCTTAGATATTAATGATTCTAACTTCTATGGAAAGTCAGGTGGAGACTAGAGTACTGTATAATGTGAAAATGGGTACTGAATTCTCCATGTTAGCTGGAAAATTTTGTATCAATATATTGCTTTTCTCTTTCACACAAATTTTGCAGCAATATTCTTTGCTCCATGTAGCCATATTTTGAGTGGTGCTCATGTTATTTCCTCATGCTTTTGCTTTTCGGGTTAAATGTTACGAGTAAAGAAATGATGTTAAGTATGACCATGACTAGTAATCATATAAATAAATTTTTTCCCCTTATATTTTTTTCCCTTTCCATGAAGCACACCAACCATTCATGGTGAGTGTCTGCCATTATAAGTGCATCTAATTAGACCCACTATCATGCATGACCAACTCTTTGAGCTGGACCAGTTAAAGAGCAACAACGATATCAACAAGACCCATCATCATCATAAACTTTACATTAGCTAAGAAATTATTAACCTAACTAAGCTAAAGTTCCTGAGGAGACTTTTTTTTCTGGCATCGAAGGGGGAGAACAAGCTAGAAATTAACGTTTCTTCGTCGGAGCAAAGCAATCCCAACCATATTATAAGGTTTCTAGCAGATGGTGTCTTGACTCAACACCGTGTCCATGAATTCACAACCATTTTCTTCTCGACATGTATGCCTCGTACCAGCCTCCCATTGGCGAGACGAAAGCCTGGTCAGTTAATGTTAAAACTGGGCATGAATTCTTCAAAGCTGCCACAGCCAGCTTTCACATTCAAAGAGAGGTCATGGTCACAGGTCATTGTTTTGCTTTAGACCACTAGTGCATCGAGCCAATGAAAAATCTAGGAGCCAAATAGATTTCATGGATGTTAATTTTCTGTGACCCTTTATCACCATCATGATGGATTGCACATGCATAGAATTGTATGTTTCACAAATCTGGTCCCACGCGTTTTGCTAGATCAACTTAAGTTGTAAATTACTGGATAAGACTAGACAAATCCATGGTCTTTACAGCTAATTGAACGGAATATACACCTGGTCTCTTAACAACTAGACCAAAGCTAGTCTTGATTCTCTTGAACCATACTTTGGATTTATGACATTACCGTAACATACAAGCATCCAGGCTTGCTACCAGACATTCCTTTCACCAGGAAAATAAAAATAAAATTAAAAATTTACCAGACATTCTATATGGGCCTCTGAAGATGACGAATGGCTGTATCTCGAGATTTATCATCTTGGGCTTGTCATGTAAACTCTCTCAGCAAATTGCCTTGGGTTCTAGCCTGGTTTCTCTAGATCTTTTGTCCAGCAACGCAGGGCATGCAGTGGACTGTACCGCAGCGAAAATATACTGTGGTATTTTTGTTAATCAACTGCATTGACGAACAACACTGACAGTATATTTGAGAGTGTAACGTAAAATGTTTTTTTAAAATAATTTTTTATTGATATGGGAACATAAAATCTATAAAAACACTAAAAAAATATTGATTTAATATTTTTATAAACCAAGGTATTAAAAAAAACATTTAAAAATAGAAGTAGAAGCGGTGCTCAATTTGTCCCAACGCATATGATATTATGCCACGAAGCCACATGCACTTCCTTTCAATGGTGAACCAATCTATATGACACAATTTCTCATGAAAACGTGCACGAGAGGCAATTCAACTTTTGGTCATTTCCCCATGTATATTTTTGTCGTGAAAAACGAATTCATGTGCCCTATTATTTGTTTTTGGAATCATGTATGTTAGAGCTGGACCGTGCTAGACGGGCCTGCTTATATTTTTCAGTCATGTACACGAACCCATGTGCTTTGTTTTTGAATAATGTTACTTTTGTCGAAAAAAAGTTTTTTCTCTGGCTGGACTCGCAACGACTTGACCAGAGGACTTCCCTCCTAGCGTGATGTGGTTTCGATGCTAAAAAAGATGAATTTTTTTTCTTGTTATTTATCAATTTTTTCTTTTAAGAGGTAATTCTATCCAATTTATGGGATTCATTCACAAGAGCATTTAATATATGAAATTTCGTAAGACATAATTTCGGTAAAATTGCACTTATTCTTTATTTCTTTAATTTATTTCTTGTTATTTATCATTTTTTATTTAAAAAACTAACCCTATCCAGTTTATTGGATTTTTGCACAAGACCATTTAATACATGGGATTATATAAAACATAATTCTGGTAAAATTACTACTATTCTTCAATTTTTCTGCCTCAATCACATAGATTATACAATGGAACCGTGCTTGGAGGGCTTGAAATGAAACTAGACACTAGCAATCAAAGAACTTGGCCCATATCAAGAAAACAAAAACTTATTTTATTTGATTAGGCTCATGAGTTTTGATCATATGGCCCACTAGTAAACATAAGGAAATGTCGATAATACCACTCCACTCAAAACTTGCAACGACAACATTGGGTGGGTGCTGTGATCAACTGTGAAGTGGCAATATGACTGGGCTTTCCTTGAACGAGAGGCTGGGTAATCGTATGGGCCGTAAACTACCTAGAAAAGTATTTTTTGGGTTTTCTAAAGTCCAGAAAATGTTCGCAATATTTGGGTCCAGGCCCAGTTACCTATGTTTTGCCCGGGATGTAAATATCTGACTTGATTTTCTGTTTACAAAAAAAATCTACGTCGGTAAAATAAGTATCCCGCCTCCCACAAGGAGAGAAGAAAATCACCTGATGGTATAAACATCACGTCTCGCATAAGGAGAAGAAGAGCCAATCAATGATGGTGCTTACTTCGCTCTCCTCTTCCCTTCTCTCGTCACTATCATCACTGACCGGTCTGCGTCCTTCAAATTCCAACGTTTGTTTTTCTTCTTCACTTCCTTCTCCACGACGCCGTCTCAATCGCAAACCAAACCACCACCACCGCAACCGCCATCTCTCGCTTCCTCTCCTCTCCAGAACCTCGCCTACACGCTCCATTCACTGCTCCTCTTCCTTCTCTTCCATGCCTCTAGAAGTTTCAACATCCCCTTCTCAGGTTCTCCTCTTTAATCAATGAGTTAATTCGTTTCTTGTGACTTCAAATCATGATTATGATTAAAAAGGATGATACAGTTACAGGACAGTTTGCTGTGTTCAAGGGCATTTTGGGTAACTCAATCTATAATCGCGTGGAATGCGGATGTTGTTAGAGACGGTTCTTGTTATTTATACGCTAGCCAAACCGCTGCGTTATCCGTTACTGATAGTGAAGTTGAAGGTCATGACTTTAAAATCAAGCTCGAGGAAGACAGCGGCGGCATTCCACAAAATGTAAGGCTTATTTAATTTATTTTTATTTTGATGATGATGATTTATTTTTGGACATTTTTTAGGTGATTGCGAAATTTCCTCATATTAGAGATTACAAAGCTTTCAGAGTTCCTTCAACTGTGGATGCCAAATCTCTTGTCAAATGCCAGCTAGCCGTCGCAACATTTGGCTGTGAGTTTTTTGTTCATTGCTTGTTTTTTCTAAGAGATTTTGTTGGTTGGCCTAAACCTAGAGATTACTGTGAATATGCACATAGACTTAATGATCAAACATGCGGTTAGAAGTTAATCATGTGATATTGCGGTCTGTTGTTTTGTTTGGTTATATTATGTAGCGGCATGGGTATTGAGTTGTTTGTTCTAAAGGCATTTAGAGATTGTTTTGTATGTATATTAACGATGAAATGCTTCATGGTTAGGTAGTTATTTTCATGATACTGTGTTCTCTTCATTTTTGGCAGCTGATGGGAAATGCAGCTATGCTACTGGTTTGCAGTTACCTGGTGTTCTAGATGAATTGTTTGCATATGATGGTCCCCTTGGTGCGCATTATTCAGAAGATGCTGTGTCCCTCTACCTGTGGGCTCCTACTGCTCAAGTATATGACATTTCGCAACAGATTCTTTATGGTCAGTTTGTTTTTTGTCAAGCCGTCTTCTTCTACACTATAAGTCATGTTTTTTTTTCCTGCTTCAAAATAGGCAGTGTGTGCCTGTGTTTACAAGAATGCGAACAGCAGCGATCCAGTGGAAGTTGTTCAGTTGAAGGAGGTTAATGGAGTTTGGAGTGTTGAAGGATCAAAAGACTGGGAAGGTTGTTATTATGTGTATGAAGTGAATGTCTACCATCCTAGCACCTTACGCGTTGAAAAATGCTATGCAAATGATCCATATGCTAGAGGGTATGCTGGCTGTCTCAATTTGCTGACAATTCTCTGAAATAGTGAAGTCGTTTACAAACTCTGATTATGGCATTGCTAATCGTAATATAGCATTGCCAATCATCATATTATGTTTGCATTTGTATTTTGTGTATACAGATGTGAAATTCCTCTGATTTTATGCTGTTTTTTTTGTTGGAACAGTCTCTCACCAGACAGCCAGAGGACATTATTTGTGAATCTTGATTCAGATACTTTAAAACCTGAAGGATGGGAGAAATTAGCTGATGAAAAACCCATTATACTTTCTTTTTCAGACATAAGTATCTATGAATTGCATGTAAGGGATTTCAGGTAAAAAAAAACTAACGCCCTTGAATCTTGGCTCTATAATCTGGCTCATCTTCAATGTTATATTTCTGGAAAGAAAAAAAAATTCCAGTTTCAGGCTTATGTGCTAGTAAAAAGAGTTAGCCGAAGTTTTAATTGCTCTGATGATATGCTGAAGTTTGTAGGTTCTTATTCATTCTAAAACCTATGTGCCTATTGTAGTGCCAATGATCATACTGTGCATCCTGACTTTCAGGGTGGTTATCTGGCCTTCACGCTGGAGGTAGTTCCGCTCTTTTGACCCCTAATATTAGAATCTACTGCTCAAAAGTGTTGGATTGTTTTGCATGTATTAGAAGTAACTGATATGATAGTGACTTAACACCGGTAAGCACATTCTTCTTGAAGGATTCAGCAGGTGTACTTCATCTAAAGAAATTATCAAATGCTGGTATCACTCATGTCCATTTGCTGCCTACCTTTCAATTTGCTGGTGTTGATGATGTCAAGGAGAACTGGAAGTGCGTGGGTAAGTATTTTATCGTAGCTCATATTCTAGTGATTGTGCGCGTTCACATGTAATGCAGTTTATGGATTGCCACAAACTTAGTTCCGCGAAATGGTTTAATTTTTTTAATGTACCT